ATACCGAAAGAACAACTGCTATTATCGCTTGTGCAGTGCATCGGGCTCCTCATTTTCACGGCCTGAGAGTCTCTCACGGCACTGGCAGGGTTTTGAAGTGTACGCCCTTGGTTCGAGAAGCCCTGCTGCCCCATACCTGTCCAATCCAGCAGCTGACATACAGGGGCTCCAGAGACTGGGCGACCTTGAAGGCTTCGTGAGCGAGCTGTGAAGAAGAAGGCAGAAATCACAGGCTTGTCACCTGCCTCCGTTCTGATCGTTCTTTAAGTCATAATTGAGCTATCTTTTCTCTTCATTCGCCCTGGCAGCGCGAGAAGTCATTTCAAGGGATGAATTCCAATCAATTAGGTTCTCCCTGCTTGTCTATTACAGGACACAAATGAAAGCTCTGAAAGCACAGCTGTACTAACAGGCCTCCATTCAGGGCAGCACAATGGCGTTACATAACCAGACCAAGTCAATAGCACTGTAGACACTGAATAGGAACTGTAACTAAGGGAAAGCTCAGCTCTTCTGGGCCGAGCGTTCATTCATCTTCTAACTGCTTTACCCAGTTCAGGGTCAGGGGGAGAGCCGGAGCCTATCCCAGCAGGCAACAGGCACAAGGGCAGGGTACACTCTGGGTGGGACGCCAGTCCATCACAGGGCACACACACTCACACCAGGGCCAGTCTTCCCAGGAGCCACTAAACCTAACAAACATGTCTCTAGACTGTAGGAGGAATCCTGACACCTACAGGAAAAGCAATAACCAAATGAAATGCATGAATAGCAAAGCACATGGCTTTCCAGGCCCCATTCCACTCCAATGGAGCTCCAACGTGCCCATAACTGCTCAGACAGCAGGCTTGGGTGAAGCCTGCACAAGACACAGTATGTTTCTTTCACCCTTTCCCAGAATGTGCTCAGACTTTACAGCCAGAAAGAGACAGAAGAACAGACACATCCCTATTAAAAATCAAAAGTCATCCTGAAATCAAAAGGAAAGCCACAACTCTGTGATACTGTAGCTTTCACAACCCACTGATAGCTGATGTGTGG